CCACCTGAAAATGTCCTAGACTTAGATGTAAAGGGTCTCACAGATTTTTGAGCGTTTGGGTCTCGGGGCTCAAAGGCTTGAACCGGTTTTAGGTCAATTTTGGTGGAATTCTGGGTTTTAGCATCAAGGGTTAGGGCTGAAGGGTGTTAAGACTCAAGGGTTTTGGAGGTGAAAAAAGAGGCCTTAATAATTGGAATTGGGGTTTTGGGGGCCCATTATACTATAATTCTACTAAGGGGCCCCAAAAAATCGTAGTAGTAAGTATTAACCCTAAACCCTAAACCCTAAACCCTAAACCCTAAACCCTAAACCCTAAACCCTAAACCCTAAACCTACATCATTCACTTAAGGCTTTCGGACCCAAAGCCTTCCCAGCGACTCCGAATACCGAAATACTACTGTAGGGTTTAGGGTTTAGGGGTTTAGGGCTTTGGGGTTTGGGCTTTAGGGCTTTAGGGGTTTAGGGTTTAGGGTTTAGGGTTTAGGGTTTAGGGGTTTTGGGGTTTTGGGGTTTAGGGTTTAGGGTGTCTTAGGTCCACACGAAGCTGTGCCCTGAATGGGTTTTGGCACCTCAAACCCTACTACTTGGGCGCCTGGGCACTACAAGTGTCGGGTCCGTATTAACCCTAAAGTAGCCCTATAAACCCCAAACCAAAACCCTAAACCCTAAACCCTAAACCCAAACCCTAAACCCTGAACCCTATATACCATATCATAACGGTGTTATGTTGAAGCTTTGGGGGTTTTGTCAGGATGCAAGCGTAAAGTCCGGCTCGAGGGCGTTACTAGCGTCTCTGCGTCATGTAGCTGGCATATACGATGTTACAGGAGACATCGCAAGGCCTTGAACAGCCTACGTATCATATAAACGTACCTTAAGAACCCAAAGCCCACTTTTTTGTAGGTTCTTAGCATAAACCCTAATATGGGATCAAAAGCGACCCTACAAAAAAGTAGGTTTTGCGTTCTTAAGGTATACTTTATGCGTATCAACCGTACATTCGCTGATGCGCTTATGCGTCCCACAGCCGGCACGGGCCGGTATACGTCGTGCCTGGGCCTGCCGGGCCGTACAGCTAATACGCGTATATGTCGTACTTGGAGGTTCATGGGTAGTTATAAGTATGGTTATAAAGCCCCTCATATGGGTTATAATTACAGCTACCCTACTTATAATCCCATTCATAACAACCCATGAACCTCCAAGTACAGCCCGTACGTTTATACGTCGTACAGCCCGCACCTGCCCATGCACAGGCCCCATTCGGGCCGCGCGACGTATAAACGTAAAACCGCAGAACATGAACATGTAAATGTGTACGTTTTCTGCATACGTCGAACAAGCATTATAAGTTCCGTGGTTTACTAAGAAGCATCGCCACATACCTTTTGTAATATATATATATATATATATATGTATGTATAACTAACATATATAATAATAATAATAATAATAATAATAATAACAATAATAATAATACATATATACATACATACATACA